TAAAGAATTATTTTGAGGGTCTCTGACGGGGGACCCCTTAATTATTTGGAGAGGTGAAGCACCCCCCGTTACAAAAATTCAAGGCAGCCAAAAAAACAACAGCAAGATTCTTGTGACCCCCACCCCACCCCTCAAATAATTTCAGCAAACTCATGCGCAAAGATACATGAATACACATGGCAACTCATGGCAGCTCACATCTTTTTCTGCAGTGTGAACGTGCATCTGTCGTCATTAAGTCATTGACTCCCTACAAAGAAAGGCAGCCAGATGTATCATCATATATCATCATATGATATCTCTGAAAAAATCTCCAGACTCAGTATAGATATCAAGAATCCACCTCCCTATCTAAATTATTTGGGGGGTGGGGGACCCCCCAAAGCACCCAGTGTCCTCGAGCTCCACCTCTCTATCTAAATTATTTGGAGGGCGGGGGGACCCCCAAAGCAGCCAGTGTCCTCGAGCTCCACCTCTCTATCTAATTTATTTGGGGGGTGGGGGACCCCCCCCAAGCACCCCCAATAGAAGATATTTTGTCTACAGAAATCCCTGCTGGAACATACGATTTCTCTAAATAAAACTCCTAGCTGGCTAAAGCCAGCAGGCTCTAGCCCTGGAATCTAATCCAGCTGGTACAACCGGTGATCTCTGCATATCTGATTCATCCTGATTCCTAGGAAAATTATTTAGGGGTCCTGCCACCTAATTCCTAGGAAATTATTTAGGGGTCCTGCCACCTCCTGCCACCTAAAGAAGTCAAAATTATTTGGACCCACCTTCGCCTCAAGTTGAAATGCATTTCTGGACCCACCCACACCCCACCTCAGTCAAATAATTGTTGAAAAAATTATTTCAAAAAAAATATTTCAAGACGTGACCCCCACCCCCCAAAATAAGTATCCCATTCTGTCAATTGTTCGGTTCAAGTCAATGGTGTCTTATCAGAAACACTGGAATGCAAAAAACTGCATAACATTATGTATATATATATATGATATATGTCGTAAAACATTATATACAACACACTACTAAGTAATTAAGCCACGAGTTTGTCATCGTCCTCATCCATCTCATCCCACGCAGAAGTTGTTGCTACATATGCTGCATACTGAGTGTCTCTTTGGCTGAGTATAAACTCTTTAGTTGTGCCTCTGGTATCCCTGGTAGAGGTGCCTCCAGAAATCACCTACGATGAAGGCAATCAAAACCCACTGGCGTCGGATGGTCCTGGTTTGTGGCTGGTGGAACCCAAGAAGATCTTCCCCACTCGGCCCAATCAGGTTGGACCACACTGGCCCTTAGTCATCCATTCCGTTGCATCTCCCCGTATTCGATGAATCAATGGATGCTCTCTCTCTCTCTCTCTCTCCCTCCTCTGTCTGCCGCAAGACTATGCAACAACGTCCGCCATGTTTTGTTTCTCCCCGCATTTGATGCTGTCCGATGTGCAACTATTTCCGCACAACCACCCTGACCCTGATAGGAGGAAGCATCCTCATGAAGAGTATGAATAGTCAAGAAAAGACATGATCACTCCTTGTATCTAGTGCGACAGGGCGTGAAGGTCTTCACAGCTAGGACAGTGTGAGCGCAGTGCTGCACGAAATGATAGCGCAGGCTGCACCTAAAATGTCAAACACTGAATGGGTTGAGTGAATACATTCAATACATTCAATCCATTCCTTATTGTTTGGTTCATTCAATACATTCAATAGTCATTATAAACAACAATACATTCAACAACCCTTTCCTTGGTCCTTCGGGGCACTGATCACCAAGTGAAATTTACAGCTCATCTATACAGTCACCCGCAAGTTTCTTACAGCCCATACTTCTTTTGGAGGAGGAACCTCCTCGCGTTCGCACTGTGAGTCAAATGGGGAAACGGCAGGTTTTCGAGGTGCGTGACTATATAAGACACCGATTTCAGTGTTGAAGAAGCACCTTTTGAAGCAACACATGATGTACTAGCAAGAGAGCAACCCGATGCTTGAAAACATGTCCAGCATCTACCACATGACATTGTGGAAACCCTGGTTCACCTGCACCACACCCTGCACGACGAAGCCCGGGTCGGCCTGTCATTGCACCGCTGCGAGACAAAGCTCAAGGCCTCCGGCCAGCGCGAGGCCTTCTCACAGGAACTCATCGAGGCGTTGAAGCTGATCAACGACGCTTGAAGCCTCCGGTCCCCGCGGCGACCGCGCTCCGGACCCCGCAGCGGGTCGGGAGGAGGTGGCTTCCCCCCGAAAGGCCTGCCACCGGTGACGTGTTCGGGGTCCGTCGGGGTTTTGGAAGTGGAGTCTGCCGGAGGACGGAGATAGGATGTGACAGGAGCTTCGGTGCCTCAGGGCGAAGTTAAACGATTTGTTGAGTCGGATGCCAAGTGTCTCTCAGAAAAAATGAGTGTTCACCCAAACTGAAAAGCGTCACGGGTCCTTGGAGGCTAACGATCTCCCTGGGCGACCTGATCGAAAACAGTCCTCTGCCGACAGGATACAGGCCGCAAATGGCCGCAATGCTTTCAGCAATCGTGGAAGCAATCGTGGAAGTGGACAGGCCCCCATCAGTAGAGAAATATATAAAAATAAAAAGAGTCTCTATTGATATACCCTCCCTCCAAAAACATACCTTCCAAAAAAGATGAAAACTAGTGGATATAGTTGATTTTATACCAAACTAGATGTACCACTCTTTTGGTATCTCAGTGGATTTGTCCACTCTTCCATGTTTGTTGGAGGGTATTTATATATATATATATATTATAGTGCGGCGTTGATCGAGATCAAGATCCTCGTGGCGGCGTTGACCGGAGCTACCCGATCAAAGACTGGAGCTACCCAAATCCAGGTCTAATTCGCCTCAAAAGGTCTACAGTAACTTGGAGCTACCTACAGGTCAGTTTGACCTCATTTTGCTGGAGATGGTCATACAAAAGCAGTACTGTAAGGAGGTAAAAAAACGCCATGGTTTCCATGGCTTTACTGGGTCTTTGGACTTGTAGGGGGCACACCCAGACACTGCCCAAGCCAGGCTCCGACCCTGAAGAGGGTCCGAGGGAGGGTCCTAAGGGGAGGGTCCTACCGAAGCTCGGGCCAGCACTGGGGGGTATGGCCCAGCCCTTACTTCATCAATCAGTAAAAGGATGTCAAAGGATGAATGGGATCTCTCATCTTCCACCTGCCTCCTGCATGGCATAGCATCATACAAGCTGAGTGCTTGGCTCCATTCGCGGCCACAGGCACTGATCACAGAATTGGAGGCAATCTCATTCGCCTCGATTCCTTCTTGACGCAAGCTATCGAACAAGCTCAGAGCTCTCTGCCATTGCCCACAAACACGGCAAGAACTCAAGGCCGCGCTCCGGCTGATTACATCAGACTGAACTCTTGCTGTGGTCATTTCATCAAGCAAGCTCAACGCATGCTGCCATTGCCCGCCCTTCTCGCACGCACTGATTGCTGCACTAAACCCAATGGTGTTCAGCTGGAGTCCCGCTTCTTTCATTGTACCGAACAGGCTCAAAGCATACTGCCATTGTGCAGCCTTCCCACAACAACTGATGGCTGCACTAAAACCAACAATGTCTGCCAGTATGCCTCTTTGTGTCATACAATGAAATAAGCTCAAAGCCTCCTGCCACTGTCCGCACTTCACACAACAACTAATTGCAGCATTGAAGCTGATCAAATCGGAATGCACCATAGCTTTGGGAATGGCATGAAACAGGCTTAAACCATGCTCCCACAGGTCTCCCTCGCAAGAATTGATTGCACTGCTGAAGCTGATCACATTCGGCTTGAGCTTGGTGAGTGGCATGACATCAAGCAAGCTGACGACCGCCTGTCTCCAGTTCCCGAAAGTGCAAGAACTGATCGCGGCGGTAAACACAATGGTATCTGCTTGAAGGCTAGCTGCAGGAAGACTGTCGAAAAGGAGGCTGAAAGCCAACTGCCACTGCCCCGTGGCCTCACAAGAACTGATGAGAGCATTGTAGCTGATCACATCCGAACGCACTGTTGATCTGCACATGGCATCAAACAAGCTCATGGCCGCCTGCCATTGTCCTGCTTTCCCACACGAATCCATTGCGGCATTATAGCTGACAGCGCTCGGCTGAACGCGGAGGTTTGTCATTGCTTCGAACATGCTCAATGCTTTCTGCCAATGCCCCACCTCGTAGGAACTCAATGCTGCATTGCAACTGATGACATCAGGAAGAAGGGATGCCTTCGGAATCGCATGAAAGAAACACAATGCTTGCTCCCATTGCTTGCCCTTCCCAGAAGAACTGATGGCAGCGTTAAAGCAAATCACATCAAGCTGAAGGAGCGCTGTGCTCATCTCATCAAATAACCACAAGGAAAGCTTCCAGTGACCAGCATTCTCACAGCAATTCATGGCCGCGCTCAAGCTGAAAGCATTGGGTGCCACCTCCGATCGCGGCATCGCCACCAGCAAGCTCAGGGCCTGTTGCCACTGCTTCCCTGCGATTTCCCACGGCCGGTCGCGAGGAATTTCAGTGTCAGGGAGGTCGCGAGGACACCAGAGAAGTCACAGTTTCGTGTGGGAAGCCAGGAAACCGTGGGGAGAACTGGAAACCAACTCATTATACTGAGGACCAATGACATGGACATCCATTGGGATCGCACTGGGCATATGACATGGACACCCGTTTGACCCGCAATATGTATACGCCCTACATGATATATAGACACGGTGTGCACATCAATCCTTTTTATTCCTTGTACTGACCTCAGTCGACAGGGCAACATGCCATGTCTTCATGCCATTATGTCTTATGATTATTGAAAAAAGTAAGCAACATATGTTTTCCTTGTACTGACCTCTGTCGGCATGGGCAACATGCCAAGTCATCATGCAAAATATTCCTCCTGTTAAAACATCTATGTAACATTTTTCTTGTACTGACGTCAGATGACATGGCCAGGCAAGTGTGCCCGGAGTCGTTTCCAGAATGCTCATGTCATTGGCAGTCAGTATAAACAAAAATGCGGACCATGTTGCGATGCGAAGAAGAGAAAAATGCAGAACATCTCAACAAACCACCTCTCAAAGAACCCTGACCCCTCAATCGATTGTCTTTTTCTTACTAGACCGAACGACGGTGGTCGTTTGGCGCTGATCAGCAAGTCCAAACCCAGACCACGTGCTTGGCATATCTTGGCATATTTGCCGATCAGTTGGGATGGTTGAAAAGGGGTCATTGTAGGTCGAGTTTCCCCAGTCCCATGGCTTTTACCGCCGGGTCCTTTCCCGCAGGCGGTCATCGCTGCGCTGAACGTGGCCACATCGCGTCGCACTTGGGCCCGGGGCATGACCTTCAAAAGCCAGCAAGCATGCTGCCACAGCCTGGGAGCTCTCGGAGCTCTCCGTTCCGAGGAAACCGCGCCCGAAGGCGCCGCGCGCCGAAGGCACCGAAGCCGGAAGTGACGAGAAAGCGAGAAAGCAAAAGAAGATGAGATGTGAGGGTCCGGGTCGCTGTGATGAGCAAGTCCTATTTGAGTGATCAATGTCCTATATTTGCTATTGGCGGAAGTGCCCTGGTAGGTTCTTGACTTGACTTCCAGTTCCGGTTGGTGGTTTCTGTCTAACCACTGGTGAGTGCAAGAGATGCTGGGACGGATGCCTCATACCATCTCACGCATCTCATACCCTTGCTTCTCATCTGCTTGGTGGTGTTCAAGAAAAAGACGCTGCGTCCTTTGGGATGTGACGCTTCTCCCATGTCCTACACTGACGGACCGAGACGTCGTGCAAGACCTTCGACCGGCCGGCTGAACCCCGTGTTCGGCCGAAGGTTGGCCGAACACGTGGGTTCGGGGGTCGACAGGATCCTTGGAGAACGGCGCTGGGATGGACATGTATGGACGGCGCTGGGATCCATTTCTACACAGAATCCAGAATATCTATTCTACACCTGGGATCCAGGTGCGAAAAGGGACTCTTCGGAGGGCCCTGAAGGCGGTTTTGGGGTCTTTTTCCATGGATCCTGCTGGGAATCGATCTTCCAACGAATGTCCGTCTCATCTTCATCGGTCGGAACGAGCCAAAAGGCTCCCCCAAAGGCAGAAATTCCGGCCCAGTCCCAGTTGGAAGACACCGTTCGTTTCTTGGATAAAAGCCGGCAACGAATGCTAACCCACTGATCCACCTAGCGAACGTTCACACAAAAAAAAACAGCACTGGCCGCCTGGAAGAGCCACAGGCACTGATCCCCAAGCGATAAAGTCCACTGTCCAGCTCAACTGCGAAGTGTTCGTCTTGCTTTCTGCGGAGCTCTTCCAGTGCCTGGAACACTCGAGCGCCGCCTTGAGCGCCACGAGCCAAGGAGTTCAGAAGATGCCAAAACCTGGGGAGTCAAGCGGCAAACACATGTGGTTTTTAGGCGGTGGGTGCTCGCCAGTGCCGATCAAACATCTGGAGGGGAAACACAAAATGCATCAACATGCAAACCTTATCAAACATTCAAACAGGACCTTTGCACATCCCGTTGTGGCGTAGAAGAACTCGTCCAGCAACAGCTTAAATGTGGGATGTGAAAATTGTTTGGTCCGACTGGGGCGGGGTCCTAGATGACGTTGCAAGCTTCAGGGGGGATAAGGGATGGTGCCATGATGGGCCATGCGGGCCAGTTCGGACGCAGGCTGGGGAGGTCTGACCAAATCCGTTTCAATCCTTCAAAAGCAGCATGTCTCAAACCAATCGAACTGCAACACCCAAGCAAAAGGAAGTCAGACTAGTCATGTAGAATCTTGGTTGATATATAACTCCCCACTCAATTTGCACAACCGTTTCATATATATCATCAAATGGGGGGCTGACATAAAATCAAGATGCTACATGACACAGCTCCAACGCAGGACCCAAGGCGATAAAAGGGATGCAACTCCACAAGGGCCCAACTGCAGGGCACCACACTCACCGGACTTTCCGCCAGCCACGCAACTGTCGTGACGACGTGTTGGAAGCATCGCTGCGAAGCATCGGGTGGACGAAGGTGCGACACAGCGGGTGAACACAAACTGAGGTTAGCGGGTGGAACGGAGGAGTTCAGTGATCCAGACTTGCTCTCTTCACCAGTCACATGGATTCCTCGCGAAAAGGGTTTGTTGGGTGTCTATCCCCAACTCGCCTTGGACATCTCAAACGATTGGCCGTCCCTCACGGGGCCCATGGGTCAAACGTATGCACATGTTGACATCCGTGTTGCTCTCAAAGTCTAGTTTTTGACTCCGGCAGTGGTGGGCCTTGAAGCGCTGGGTTGGCAGCGCCCTGATCGTGAACCGCTGTCGACTGTTGCAATTACTGGCCACGGTTCCAAAAAGTAGTAGCCTCATAGTCTAAATTGCACCATGATCAAACCTGACCATCGATTGGACAGGAATAGTTCCCCCTTACGTATACATCTACCCCATTTATGGCCCTACTATGTAGCACATGGACGGTCTAGAAACATGAACAATTTCCCAAGCATTGTCAATCTTCCTCTGGAGTCACGTTGCCCCTACCACCAGGCGCCTCGACTTTTCGACTCGCCCTTCGGTCGGCTGCGGACCCAGTCCAGCTGCCGGGCACGGAGGCCTGGGGCGAGTGAGGTTCGGCTGACTTTCTTGCCATCACCGCCCTGTAGAGTACAACTGAATACATATTCAAGCCACCATTGTTTTAGTGGTCCTCTGCCCAGGGACCATTGCTTTACTAAGGATTTTGCACTACACCAACAGGTCAACAGTTAACTTAATGGCATCCGCCGACTCTTGGGACAGCGCAGCGAGGAGTGGTTGCCTGTGGCCTGCAAACTCCTTCTCAAGTGGGCTTCGAAGCTGCCGTCTGCCACCCTCTCTGGCCACAGTTGCACGCAGAACAACATGGGCCAACGCTGTGGCCAGCGGCGCCTGCCAGGCCTCCATGCCGGACAGGCCGTAGGCTGCTTTTCGCCGGCAGAGCCTATACTTTCTATGGGGGTCGAAAGGCAACGTTGGAGACTGTCAGCGGTTGCCCCCAGACCAGTTGAAACCTCCAGGGCCAGGGTGATTCGCTGAGTCGGGACTGAGGTGGACAGGCGTGGCCTCAGGGCGCCGGACAGGCCGTAGGCTGCCTTTTGTCGCAGGTCACTGGGGCGCTGTTTCTATGGAGCTCCAAAGACAACGTCAGATACTGTTAGCGGTCCTCGGCCCTACGACTGGTGAAGAATGTTCGATGCTATCAGGCACGTCGCAGAACGGAAATCGGATGTCCAAGCTCGGGTCATGCGACTGCAAGCTACTATGTATTCTCAAAATCCCTGAGCAGAGAGATACCTATTTTAGCAGACTCTGGTGATAGCAAACAACATTCAACAAACCTATAGCGATTGTCAAACATCCCCGGTGCTCCGATCCAAGCAGGCTGTTTCTTAGTATGCATCAAATATATCAAATATATCATATAACAGAACCCTATTTCAACGCTTACTTTGAAGCTCCGTTCGGCCCGTTCGGCCCGGAGCTTCAAGTGCACCTCACCCGGCCTGCATCCCTTTGGCAGTCCTCCAAGGAAACTCCTTCGACCCGCGGATCTCCTCGCAGCCCACTCCGGTCCCGCGGCTCCGTTCGTTTCCGCACCGATGAAAGGCGCATGAAGGTACCAGTTTGGGAGCTAATAGGGTAGGCTAGGGCTGGTGAGGCCATGGCAAACTGGTCTCTGTATTTAGGTCTCCTGTCAACGAACATTACGGTACGGGAGGGAGGCCAATTCCTGATCCGTTTTCCAGGAATGAGGCTTCGGGAAAAGTAAGAATTCACTCATTCGGAGTCCAAGAACCTGCTGAAAAGTCAGAATCCTCGATGTTTGAATCATTGAAACATGAGACGTCACCGAAACGTCGCTCGTTTGGTCGCTGTCCGAGAAAACAAGAAAACATAAGAAAACCATCGCTCCACAAGATCCTCCACCCACCACGACTACATAAGTATAACTCCCAGACACTCCATGGGACTGCCATAGGACTGCCGATCAGTTGGGGTGGTGCCAGTGGGGGGGTCAATGGGGCGGCAGTCCGATGGCAGGTCCCATTCGTCGCCTTTTGGGACTGCGCTCCTTGCTGTAGCGCCAAGCGCAACGTCGACCGCTCGTAGTGCCGGCCATCCGGAGCTCTCACCGGATCCACCATGAGCCTCGAGACGGCTGGAGCGTCTAAAAGGGTGGAGGGGGGGGGCGGGAGCGTCTAAAAGGGTGGAGGTTGGGTGGGAGGTGAGCCCGTCAATCAAGCCCGAGGCTCTTGACCTTATTGAACCAATCCCGTCCTCAAGCAACTCCCGGTCGGTCTGTTTCTGCCCAAACATGGACGAGCGCTGCGCTCGTCCTGCGAGCGCAGCGTGCGTTGCGTGCCTCCCATCCAACGCACAGCGGAACTCCTCGGGCACCCCGTCCACCAGCTTCGCCCGCAGCGCGGAAGAGGCGCCGACGGCGCCGGCTCGGCGAGGCAAAGAACTGACAGCTCGGTGACGCGAGTGACGCGGAGAGTTGGATGATTCATGGGGATTTGGATGAGTTTGGGGGGGGCACTACCTGGGTTTTGGGATGTGTGACAGGGGCGGGTTTGCTGGCAGAAAGGGCTTGAAATGGTTTGAACATGAGAGTGACATCTTGGGCACACCTGCGGATCTGGTCCTGTTTGGACCTCCATGCTACACCCCAGCTAGAAGCTGATCTCAAACTAATAGCCTTTCTATACACTCTGACGAACACGTCACATGGAAGTGGAGTTCACAGCTTGTTGGTAGAGGAAAGTAGTCTTCCTTTAACCATGCCATCCACTTCCATGATGATGCGTTCGTCAGAGGGAAGCTGGTCCCTCACGCCTCACTGGTGGCACCGTCGCTCCGCAGGCGCTCCACCCGGCGCTCCACAGAAGGCGTTTCGCCTCGCACAGAAGGCGCACTTGGATGAATGCATCAAACCCCAAACACTACATGTATGGAAGTAATACATACTATTCAGTGACCCCCCAAATGTCCCAATGTAGGTATATCTGGCGTTACATGGAGCGTCTGGGAATTGGGGAAGAAGTGTCTAAAGCAACCAGCATCTTGTGGTTCTCTGGCACGTCCTTCTTGCATGGAACTCTAGCTCCCCAAGCGATCATATGTTTGGCTGTGGATCAAAACCGGGACACCTTGCTTGACTGAACAGGATAGACTGGGAGGGAGGTCAACCTACTAGGGTGAAGCAGGTTCCGGGTTTTGACCCACAGCCACAGCCACATACGACCAGAAGGTAGGAAGGTAGGTAGGCAGGCTCCCAGTTTCAGGAAGATGTCAGGCGTAGAAAACACATCAACAATCAATATCACAAAACTATATGACTTTGGTATATCACCCATTCCTTGTAACAGTGAATGATGATGGTTAGCAAAGGCGCCCCCCAAGGGGGGGTCGATGGATCCCCCTAAAATGGCTAAGAAACCAGAATTAGACACCCCTTAAGGGCCCCCGCAGGGCCCTGGTATGATCCTCCTTTATTGACTGTTAACAGGTCATGGTTAAAAAAAACGTTTAGAGAATGCTTGGAGCAGGATGCCATCACTGGTTCTTGGATGTCTTGAACGTTTCTGTCGGATGTCTTGAACGTCATTGTATTTTACAAAAAGAAAAGACCAGGTTCACTCAACATGCGACCAACACCGTCCAACACCGCACGGACATTGTTTTGGCTCAGAGACAGCGCAGGTCTCACCAGTGTGTGTCCGTTCCCTAGGTGGGCTGCCGTTTCTGCACACTGCTGCTGTTTCATGGGTCTGTGATGTTTCCTTCAAATACCTTTTTGGGGCTTCATTGTAGAGTTGGAAGGCTCGAAAACATGCTTTTGGTGGTGTCTACCTGACTGACATGAGTACCTCAGTTTGCTTTCTAGGGGTCTCAGGGCAAATTCTGGAGGTGCAGGCTGTTTTAAAAGGTCATTTTATAAACAGCCACTGTGTGTGTGTGTGTCTGTTCCCTACTTTCAAACATGTTCAAGCCACCTCCATCCTTGAGCATCTTGCTGGCAAAGAAGATTTTAGAAAGCTTCCATATGATTCCCTTATTTTCCGTTACCAAATCTTCAACACAAGCGCTCTGTTTATAAAATGACTCGACCGGGTTCCCATCTTAGCTACGTGAAACGTTCCGTGTCATCAGGCAGAAAAAACACATGTTTTTTAGACAATGAGAATCCAACCTCTGATTTGGGCACATACCGACTACCTGCTTTATAAAATGGGGCTTGGGATCTCTACATGTTATAAAGGAAAAAGGATACTCATTTTAAAGTGACACTAGCAGTGGGGGATGAGTCGTGGGACACTTGCCAAAGAATGACACATTCATGTGGATGCCTCCGGGCGCATCCACTGCATCAGCTCGGCGCGGCAGAGCTGGGCCTCCACCTGTGGCGAGGATCGCCACGGTGTTTCTGCGACTCACCCAGCCCGATTCCCTATGGACTCAAAACATCATTTATACATGGACCATCCAAGGGGTGCCCTGTCTGGAAGCCTATAGGTATAGTGTGGGGTAGTCCAGCCAGGACACCCCGACATACCATGGTCCTGGTAGAATGGCGCCGAACCACCCAGGATTCCTACACTTTTTTATAGATCAACCCTAAGGCTCGGCTCGAATTCGGTCGTGCTGGCATGCTGGCATGCTGTGAACCCTCTTCCGTTGTGTGTGGGCACCTGCTCACGCAACTCCGCAGCGAGGTTCTGCAAATGTTCGGAGAGCGCGAGGCCTCCAAGCGGCTCGTAACTCGTAACTAGCTGAGACCCCACGTTCCGCACAAAGCAACAAGCGTCCCGCACGTCCTGCACTCAATCAAGAAAGCCTGAAGTAAATGTAGAAGACATCTGGCTGTGGGTTAAAACAAGGATCCCTTGGTTCACCACCGAACATGAACAGGTCAACAACCAGACATGGTCAACCGTTCAGCGTGAAGGCGAGCTCCGGGTGCCCTGACCCATCACTTCCCCGGTCTCTGAAAACAAGGCCTTCCACTTTCGCGCCAAGCTGAATCAATATGTCAAATCCCATGAAGCTCTCAGGAAAGTTTTGCAGAAACCGACACAAAAAACATCGGAAAGAAAAGAAACGTAATTATACATAATTATACTGCGTTTGGTTGCCAGTCACATTCCTCCCGTAAATTTGTAAATACTTGTCGCTCAAGTAGTCTCCAAGAAAACCTGTGAGCTTTAATTTTTAAAGCTGCTTCGAATCTTGGATCCTCTGTTGTTTGGCGGGGTGCACCAGCAGCGGTAGGAACCACAAGCATCCACGGACCGTCTCACCGTACACGAGTCAGAAGCACGTGCAGAATCACTCGGCCCTACCCTGAGGTTTACCAAACATGGACGCTAGTATATGACAATGGGGAGACCTCCGGAAGACCCCTAAAGAAGGTAATCAGACCGAAACATACCAAACCCATTGGCTATACTTAAAGTAAAAAGATGTAAAAAGCACCGATGCCCACGCTCAAAGTCACAAGCATAAAGCCTGGCCGCAGTAGTGCAGCCCTACATCATCCACCTCAAAGAGAAGTCTTAAAAGAAGACGATACGGTGTACAAGAGCAAAATTCCCATCTCCTTGTACCGTTTGTTAAATAAAATGTAATTATATATATCATGATTGCTTTGATGAGCTGGCATGTTGATTCCACAAAAATTCTTGGGAAGTCCCTACCATCTGCGCCACGATTATACTCCATCCCATCCGGCAGATGGTGGACTCCCTCCACATCACATCAATCGCCTGCATTGGCCCGCAGCACGCAGCTCCACGCCAGCGCCGTCCGGTCCGCCGCGCTCAGGTCGCCGTTCAGCAGCTCCTGCAGCTTCCGGGGGAGCGGCAGCGGCGGCGGCACGTGGAAGGCCACGCGCGCGCAGTTCTGGAGGAGGCTCCGCGTCCTCGGTCGATCGAGGGCGCGTGGCAGCGGCGGGACGAGCGTGGGGGAGCGCTGTCTGGAGGCGAAGGTGGTGCCTCAAATCGTCCAATTAATAGAGAAAGTGTGGGAGCATGTTGACCTTCAAACCTATGTTCGGGGCTCCTGGCCTTACTACTAGGAGCAAAGGACGCTGCGAACGGGGCTCCTGGCATCGCTACTAGGAGCAAGAAGCTACTATGGGATATCCTTTGGGATGGTTTCACCATGCTTTCAGTGCCCTTTCAGTGCCCAATGTTTGTATCTCCACTTTGATCTCCCCAGAAACCTGGCGCACAAAACACGAAGCAGGTCGCATTAAGCCCTGGTCGCATTCGGCGAGGCTCGGGTGCACCGACAGGGACAGCGCCAAGATGTCCCAGAGGATGGAGGACCTGCGAGGGTTTGGTCCCAACCAATGCTCTTGGACGGTGCACTCCTTCGCGCGGCGCCGACCTCCGTCCGATCCGACCGAGCGAAACGAGACGACCCGATCCGCGGCCAACGTCATCGCGGTGCACGTCCGGAACACTCGGCGGATCGAACATGGCCCAGGATCGTGTAGGATCTGCTGTTAGGTCGAGCTGTCTACCTTTCGCTGTCCCAAATAGCTAGCTCACCCCCACCGACCTGGATGTTCCGAGCTTGACCTGGATGTTCCGAGCTTGACTCATCCACTCGTGCTGCTCAGCACCAGCAAGCCACCGAATGATCTCCAAAGGAACATGAGATCCAAAGCCCACCTTCCGGGGATCCCGGATTCAGCCAAGTCTTTTTGGACGCTGACGCGGGGGGAACCCCGTCCTCATTCTTCGAATTTTGAGTGGGAATCGCGCGAACATGTTCAATCTATATTGACCTGACCTAAGTCTTCGTCTTACTCCTGTTTCCGGCTCGGTGTCGCACGATTCCGTTGCTGAATGCAAGACCTCCCATCCTCGTGATTGAACCGCACAAGATCCATCCCCGGACCATCCATGGGAATGGAATAGGTCATTCTTAGATAGAAAATACCATTTGTCATTTATTATGAAGGGTTATATGTTAGTTATAAGTTATGACCCAATATATAGATATATATATATATACCCTAAGCCTAATAATTTAATAGTACAGCATCATACTTCGCTGACCCGTTGCAAGCTCCGTGCCACCCGTGGCAGCTCGGCCTCAGCCGCAAGTGCCGCAGGTAGTCCTGCTGTGCGTCTTGAAAGGCTGGGACGTCCACGGAGTCCACTGAGCTCACCTCGGGAGGCCCCTTTCCTTACTCAATCCGATCGAAAAAAATGGACTGCCCGGGTGGTCTTTCAACATCAAGATCCATGTATACCACCGAAACAGGGTTGTTAGGCCCTAACAGGTTTCAATTGGTGACCTGTTGGAGGTGCTGGTACATCCAATTTACAGTAAGTAGAGCGGCTTCAGAGTAGATGGCGCAAGACCCAGGCAGGGTGCTTTACATGCATCTCGGGACATGATTCTAAGGGACCGTGGCATCTACAAGTACTTAGGTCATCAGCTGCTTCGAGCGCGGCAGTGTTTGTTCCAACCCAACCAGGGATCGGGCACGGCCGGATCGGGCCGCCGGTGCTACCACGGCCGTGACGGCACAGGCTGTGTCGCGGCACAGCGGTCGAATCAGGGGTCACGGACTGTTTTCGAATGACGTCCTGCTACGAAGTGGATGATGCACGGCGAGAGCAAAGTGATTTGGACGCTATGAGGACGCTGCGACTTCCCCTCATGCTAGCACAGGTGACCTTTTGCATGCCAAGTCATTTGCGTGCCAGGGGGAAGGTGCTGCATTTCCACCAGGAGGTGGCTCCTCACATTCTGGTTCAACTTCAGGTTGTGCACTACTGGCCTCTGACCACAGCAGGTCGCTGACGGCCTGACAATTCGAAGTCCCGGATCTTGGCAGTGCCCGGAGACAGGTTCGCAGGACGCGGACGCGGATGCTCATGGGCAAGCGAGTCCATTGAGCTTCCTTGAGCATCAGAGTCCAACGCTGCGAAGCAACACCTCTACAAGCTCCAAAGGTTGGAACCGAACCTCCTGGGAGGATCGAGGGGGAGGATCCCGTCCGACTCTGCGTGCTAACCTCCCATCTTATAAAGTAGATATGTTGGTTTAGTATGGTTTAGTGTATATATGTAAAATGGTGAGCGGAGGATCAACAGCAACTTGTAAAGGCAACTGTCACAACTCAACCAACGGGGATCAAAGAACTCCGTCACGATCAAAAGCAAGCGGTACGCTCACTTTTCCATTGCGCAACCGTCGGGGGCTCGGATGAGCCAGACTCAAGGGCCCTTGTGCCAAAATGGTCACATGAGAGGGCCGCCATCTCATATCATGATATGCATGTTCCAACGCATACAAATTCACAATATATGTATATATAGCATGCCACAAAAAAAAGGTCAATTTGCGCAATCAGACTTCTTCCCACCCAAACGCTCCAAACAGCCCTTGGTCCCTCAAAACCATATGGACTTGAGACCCCAGACCCCTCCAGAGGATTCGGGTCCGACCCCTCCAATATCAGGGTCCAGGGTCGCGTCTGGGCAGTTCTTCTAGGCGGTTCCTCGGAACCCTTGGCTTCGTCCAGGGAACGAGGTCCGCCAAGTGCTGAGCCAAGTGGGGCACCAGGGTGACTGCTGAACACCAGTCGTAGGACAGTAAGCAATCCAATAGGCCATTCTCCTCCACAGCTGGCAGCTGCACCAATTCTTGGAAATGTCAAGCTATCAACTGAAGGTTCACTGTTCTGGGTGTTTGTTTGCTTCTTTGTGTGTGCTGCAATCCCTAGCTTTCAAGAACCCCTTGTCCCTCAAGCTTTCCATGCTTCCACCCTTCGCCAGGTGGCAACACCCGCTCGTCGCGGTCTTTTTCGCTCCCGTGGCTCCTGTTCCACTGCCATCAGCAGCGCGCGATGCGCCTGTGTTTCAACAGGTCGCTCGACCGAAAGGTCGGTCACACCCGGAAATGGCCGTGGCGCGACTCTGAAAACCCGTGTTTTTGTTGCGTCATGCGGTGTCACCACCGGCCCTGCCATGCGTATTTAGTTTTTTTGTTGGCGTTGAGCTGCATCCAAATCAATCTCTACTGAGAGTAACTGTGCAATGATTCACTACTAACTATCACTAACTATATAATAACTCATTATACCTAGCAACTACGAATTCTCACATCCTGACGGTTGAATGCCGCATCAATTCAGCAAGTTCGTGAAAAGCTAGCGCTCATAGGCTCAGGCTCGGCTTGTTCCGTCAAGGTCGAAGAGAAACAGACCACAACACCCAGAGGGGCGCCCAGCACCAGAGCCACCAATTCCCAAGGGGCCTTCCTCAAGACGATCCGGGGCCCCGATTTAAAGAAGGCCACACACACCCCGGAGCCCGCACGAATTAAAGAGCCACACCAAGAGCCCAGGCCTGGGGATGCGTCGAGATGACGCATCCGTGCCAAAGCGTCTCTCTCTTGTAGACTCTTTTCAGTACATAAAAACTCACCCCCCATTGGATTGAAACACCTCTTACTTCCTATGGAGGACCATTACAGGGTGCTCTTCTTGCGGTCCCCGTCTCTGCCAAGAGCTTCTGTGCCTCCAGCTGTTGCTGACGCTCCTCGATGCTGACCTCACCAGTGGCTCCAACAGAGAAGGCGATGCCTTAGAACAGAGGCAGCCCAGACTGTGAAGAGCACATGGAGAGACCAGAGATCCACACAGTTTACATGGATGCTTTTAGTGTACTGTAGCCTGCAAAGACCATTTGTCAACGACCCGTTGACCTGCTTTTGTATAGTCTAAAATCCCTGAGTCAAACAATGGTTTTTCAGGTGTCCTTTACTTTAAAACCCATTAAATCAATGGTGGTTGGCCGTAAAGAAATGTTTATGTTTATGGTTGTAAAAACATTCATTGGAGAGAGCATCTGTTCAGATTGAAAGGTGTTCAACAAGTTGAATAAGAAGGTAATCTTTAAAAAAACAAAGGAAAAAGCAAATCATTGAACATCCAAAAGGCAAAACACTGCAAATAAAAAGGTACGTTAAAGGCAATCCTTGGAATTACGGTCACCCACCAAAAAAAACGCATCAAAGGTAAACAAAACGCAACAATATGTGTTGTTTTGTTTTTTTCTGCTGTATGTTTCTTGTAAATGAAAGCTCATATGTGCCTTTGCTTTGCTTACTTCAGTTTAGTTTGCCTTTTAATACGTGTTTTTCCTTTTATCTTACCTTGTTCATTGCCCTTTGCAGTGCCTTTTGTGCCATTGTTGTGCCTTTTGGATTTTCAATGACTTGCCTTTGTCTTTGTCTTGCCTTTTTGATTTACTTTTTAGTTGCCATGTGTGCACCTTTAAATAATCGAATCCGGGAAACGGAATCCTGTCCATAACAACTTGATATAAATATATCTGTCGATTTCGCAGCTTACTGGTGGCGTTGGATGGAAATCATGTAGTAGAAGGTTGGTATATGTATGAAGCACCGGTGGGTGAAAATACTCCCCAAAAGGCACAAGTTGATGACGTCATCAAGCGTGTGACTCTAGAAATGGAAGTCCACAGTGCTTCTGGTAGAGTTCTCCCAAGCACTCCATTTGATAGAGAAACCCTGTTTTCACACATGAAACCTACATAGAGTCTTTGGGTTTACAATTGTTCGTTCGCATAGCTTGGGGGCACTCTGGAACGTCACAGCAGTCGTTTTCAGCAGCCTCTCGGGCGTCGCCCCGACGTCTGTCGCCGCCGGAGGTCGGTCGCCGAGGTCGGTCCCGGCCGTGCGGTTTGCGCCGGGCCACGTGGCGCAGCGAGGCCCAGCAGGGCCAACAGCACCGAGCGTTGCAGCTGCGGCAGGTCGCCGGGCACACGCACGCAGGCCGTCTCCTCGGGCCGGAGAGCTGGGCAAGCTCAGTGGCTGCCACAGAGGAGAGGAATTTGGCACAGACCTTTCCCCAAAGATGTCCTTTTCAAAGGCAGGGGTCCAAACTTGGGATCACTTGTGCCAGAAGGCAGTGGACAAGAAAGGGCCACCTGAAAAAAGAAAAACCCAAAGAATATCCCCAACAGCTTAAGCGCAAAATGTAACACTTTTTTTTCAGGTTAGCAAGGTAAACTAAGAGGATAGGATACTAAAAGGTTAGCAAGGCAAAAGGTAACAGTAGGAAGCACAATGAAATAGACTTGAGGTATGATGAGGTTGCCTTGACTGTGGATTGGGGCTCCGAAACCGGATTCGGGGCCCGAAAGCGGATTCGGAGACCGAATGGAGAACAGGAGGAAACTAAGAGGATAGGATATACTAAAAGGTAAGCAAGGTAAAAGGTAACAGTAGGAAGCACAATGAAATAGACTTGAGGTATGATGACGTTTCCTTGACTGTCGATTAGGAGCCTTGCGGGAACCTTGTGGGAAACTTGCGCCAACCTCGTGGGAACCTCGGGGCCACGTTGTGGGAACCTCGTGGGAACCTTGGAGCAAAGCTGTGGGAACCTTGGAAGAACCTTGTGGGGCAAAGTTGTGGAACGATGTTGTGGGCACCTTGGGAGCCTTGTGGGGCAAAGTTGTGGGAAGCTTACCTTGCAAAAAAGTTGTGGGAACCTTGTAGGCACCTTGAAGCAAAGTGGACAAGGTTGTGGGAAGCTTCTGGGAACCTTGCAGCAAAGTCGCGGGAACCTTGTGGGAACCTTGGAGCAAAGCTGTGGGAACCTTGGGGCAACCTTGGAGCAAGGTTGCGGGGACCTTTGGTCCCTTGTGGAACCTTGGAAGAACCTTGAGGGGCAAAGTTGTGGAAACCTTGTGGGAACCTTGGAGCAAAGCTGTGGGAACCTTGGCCTTGGGGCAACCTTGGAGCAAAGCTGTGGGAACCTTTGGTCCCTTGTGGGAACCTTGTGGGAACCTTGAAGCAAAATGGGCAAAGTTGTGGGAAGCTTCTGGGAACCTTGCAGCAAAGTTGTGGGAACCTTGCGCGAACCTTGGAGCAAAGCTGCGGGAACCTCGGGGCAACCTTGGAGCAAAGTTGTGGGAACCTTGGGCGCTTTGTTGGAAACTTGTGAAGCAACATTGTGGGAACCTTGGGGGAACCTTGTGGGGGAACCTTAGGGGGCGCCTTGCAACAAAGTTGTGGGAACCTTGGAGCAATCTTGTGGGAACCTTGGGAAACTTGCGGGGCAAAGTTGCGGGAACCTTGTGGGAACCTTGGAGCAAAGCTGTGGGAACCTTGGGGCATCCTTGGAACAAAGCTGTGGGAACCTTTGGTCCCTTGTGGGAACATTGAAGCAAAGTGGGCAAAGTTGTGGGAACCTTGCAGCAAAGTTGTGGGAAGCTTGTGGGAACATTGGAGCAAAGCTGTGGGAGCTCGACGGGGGCTGAAAAAGGGGACGGGGTATTTCGAAACATTCGGACTTTATCAGAATGCAATGTGGATTTCATAGAACTCTTGAAAAATGATATCGGTGATATCAGCTAATCCACAATAATCTACAACATACGTCATTTGCATGTCTTCGGACAACATAAGGAAAATGTTTCTTCCGTTCCCCCGACCAGAGATGCATTCCACAAGAGCATTCTCCTTGAAGAGAACTAACGTGCCACAAAGTTTGTATCTCAATCTATACATCTTGTTCATCAGCGCCACGAGTCGCGCACGTTTTTAGCAGCCCACAAGTCGTATGGGCGCCCCTTGACCGCCAAGGCCCTCAGCTCAACCAATCTTCTTTCCTCTCTCGCTCTGCCATCAAAAAAAATTACAAACGCTCCTAAGGCCTTTTGACCCAAGCCCGGCAAAAGGACCCGGCTCGTCCCACCAGGTCCTGGGCTTCTCCTGTCATCAAGCCACACCCAAACACAGCTGATCGTTCTGGCAACCACGGAAATCCACTCAACGAGCCTCATTCTTCGCCTTCCAGGTGAAGAATGTCTTCCTCATCATCTTAACCTCCCACCAACGAGGCAATGTAAAGAAATAGCTTTCCTTCACCCCCCATCAAGCAGCCTTTAGAGGACTACTCTATTGTGCATATATACATTGACATTTGTTTTACACCAAAAAATGTTGGTTCTTGAAGGAAATCTATGTACATGTATACGCTCTACTGCTGTTGAATCATCCTTGCGTGAACATCCAGGCCTGGATGTTGTGGATGAAGAGCTGGTCGACGTGGAGGCCCTGCACAGAAGAGTAGAACCTCTAACAGAACCTGCAACCTTTCAAATTTAGAACCTTTCTGCGGAACCATGAACGTTTATGTGAAGCCATCGGAAACCTTCCAAGTTTTGGACCTGGGTGGTGGCAACGGTGTTGAGGTCCTCCGTGGCTGGTCCCTGGGCCGGCCATGAGCAGTTTGGCTAAAGGAATTAGCAGAAGGACTTGAAACACCCACAAACGGGTTGGTTCTTTGGACAATTTTACATAACCGATGGGTTTGGCAAGCTAAAAAGTCACGTCTTGGTTTGCTTGGGTTTGCTTAGGATGTTTTCTGTTTAGGGTTTCTGTTTTTAGGGTCAGGGTTTGCGTTGGATGTGTTTCCTGTTTAGGGTTAAAAAGAATTTAGGGTTAGGGTTTGCTCAAGATGTCTTTTAATTAGGGTTAAAATGAGTGTAATTACGTGCAAATACCAATCAAAAGTACGTCAGGGTGAGCCGCTTCCTAGATGATCTTCTAGTTAAAGCTTCAAAAAACAAAAAACTCAAAAACGCTGAGCCTTCGCAGACTTCCGTCCCCAACAAGGGTAGTTGAGGACAAACTCTTGCTATGCTTTCATCAATCAGAATGTCACAGAACACTGGCCCGGCGCTGTCATTTGACACTTTTGTGAGCTGATAAAAAGCAAAATCGGGGCAGACCCACCAGTTTGCCAGTACTAATACGAAGCAGTATCAGGTCGGTTTTGGATGGTTTTTGGTCAAGACATCTCATAGAAACTGCCAACGCAAAAAAAGCTTTTGGAGTGAACTTCCCTCGACACCCGAATCGCATGCCTCCACAGAACGGGCATCCGAGGCCTCTCAGCTTGAAGAGGCAGCTTTCTTGGTTCAGTGACTTCACCGCCCTTATATAACAGATGAACTTTTCGATTCCTTCCCTTGGTTGATTCTCCAATTAAGTTGGCGACGGCGCTTCCTCAAGAAGCAAGCCTGAGAAAAGATAACGCCGAGAGGGCTTTAGTAAGAGGTCGTTGATTGAACGATGGACCTTCTTGGTTTCTCTTGAATCATTCTGATCCCAGGCAAGCCTCAACCCAAGAACCATCGAGCTGCCATAGGCCCATTCCATCTTCGCGGGCGAAGTAGAGCTGCTCCTTGGCATTGAACGCAGACTTCACCCCCAATCGAAGAGAGTACTGGATGTGTGCAAACATAACCACAAATGTACCAAAATCACATCCCAACCTTCTTCGTTCTGAATGTTCAGTCCGTTGAATACATCACTTATCATTTTTTGGACGCTTATTGTCATGTCTTGTGGTGTGAGTAATCGGTTCGAAAGGTAATTTACACCATGCTCTTGGGCCCATGAGGACCGGGCGTAAATCGGGCACCACACCCGGAAGGTGTAGCCAAACAGCGCTGGCTCCGGCAATTTGTATTACGATCTACAACTTCGCCCCCCCCCACAAGGCTCTCAACCACAGAAAGAACTTCCTACAAATCCTTCCGAATCAAACTTCCTCTACATAAAACCTTGATAAACTGATAAACTCTTCTCACGCCTCAGAGTTCACGCTGGCCGCCTGGACTCTGCTAGTGAGTTAAATGCTTGAACGTGTACATGTCTATGCTTTCCTACAGGCCATGGTTGATCAAAGACTTTGGCTGAACATTTTGATAAACAATGCTACGCTTTGCAGCCAAGGATGATTGGAAAGTCACAGGGCGACGGTGAAACGAATGCATTCATTGTCTATCGGCCCAATATGCCGGCTCCTCCCATCAATGGTCATCCCACTCACCCCAAACCTCATAGCCCTTGTCTGCAAAACTGTCATGTTCATTCCGCAATGCACTGCGAATAGGCCGCTTGAACTGATGCTTTGTATTGCTTCCTGCATCATCATCTGCAAACAACGTTCTGAGAGCTCGGCGCACCAAATCAAACTCAGTGCTGTTCACTGTTCGAGGTCTGGGTGAGGATGTTCTGACGTTCACCCTTTGTCAAATGGGCCGCTTTGAGAAGACGATATCCACGCCGCTCGTCCTCCCAGAAGTCCTTGGCCGGTGCAGATGGGATTTGTGGTCCCGGCGCCGCTGAGGATGACCAAGCTCTTCTCATGCCCATCATCGGGCTTGTTCCTCCAGCTTGGGAGGGGGTTGAGACCTCATCCATAGCCCTTGTCGAGGTGGATGTCGTCTTCTTTTGTCGGTCTTCTCTGGCCCTCTTGAGGGCCTGTTGCGTCTGGGTCCAAAGATCCTCCTCGCGCACCAAGGCAACCTTGGAGCAAAGCTGTGGGAACCTTGGAGCAAACTTGCGGGAACCTTGGGAACCTTGGGGGAACCTTCTGGGGCAAAGTTGTGGGAACGTTGTGGAACAAAGTTGTGGGAACCTTGTGGGAACCTTGGAGCAAAGCTGTGGGAACCTTGCGAACCTTGGGGGAACCTTGTGGGGCAAAGTTGTGGGAACCTTGTGGAACAAAGTTGTGGGAACCTTGTGGAACAAAATTGTGGAACCTCGTAGGAACGTTGGAGCAAAGCTGCGGGCACCTTGGGGGAACCTTGTGGAACAAAGTTGTTGGAACTTTGGGAACCTTGCAGGAACCTTGCAGGAACCTTGGGAACCTTGTGGGAACCTGGCGGGAACCTTGTGGGAACCTGGCGGGAACCTTGTGGGAACCTTGTGGAACAAAGTTGTGGGAACCTTGTGGAACAAAACTGTTGGGAACCTTGTGGGAACGTTGGAGCAAAGCTGTGGGAACCTTGTGGAACAAAGTTGTGGGAACCTTGGGAACCTTGCAGGAACCTTGCAGGAACCTTGCAGGAACCTTGGGAACCTTGTGGGAACCTGGCGGGAACCTTGGAACCTTGTGGGAACCTTGTGAGAACCTGGGGGAATGTCTTTGGGAGCTGCTCCGGCTTGCTCCGAAACCTTTACTATGGCTGAAGACCCCAAAGCATGCTGCTGTTGGGGAATAATCACCGAACTGAACGAAAACCATGACTGTTGGAGCTTCAATGAAAAAAGCTCCCCCAAAAGGTTCCAGCTTCGTTCTGTCCCATCCACCCACAGGGTCATCCCAGCTCGTTTGGGCCGAGGAGGCGCTGACGCGGTGGGCTCGGTGTGTCCCCAAATGCTGGATGGTTTCGTGGGTCGATTCAATCCACGATGTGCCATGGGTTTCTTCTAAGGCAGCCAAGAGAGAGAATCATCACTCCATGCCGAGGCCTGGAGGGGCCTCCGGGCCAAGAATCTGAATGAAACACCACCGTCCACCACCATCCACCTGCCCTGCCCTCTTCCATGCAGCCCTCTTGCACCGAGCTTCGCGGGCACCACGTTGGAAGCCTAAGGCGCCTTTGCAGAAGACCAAGGCCGACAAGGCGTCCCAGTTGCCTCGGGCGGTCCGTCAAAAGAACTCAGCCACCCCCCAACAGGTCTCAGCAACCGGCTGAAGACGTTTTGAACCCAAAAACGCTAGGGGGATCCCATCTTGGAAGGGCTGGCGCCAGCGGGAGGTGAGTCCACTGGGTGGTGCCATCCGATGAGAAAGCGGGCCATCGCCTGGAGGGCCATTGGTTGGAAAACGATGGAAAAGTATGGAACACCTGCAAACAGCTTATGAAAAAGGATTGAACAGGTTGATGCAGCAACGGTCTAGATCCGACCAACCGTCTCCGTCCTTCTCCCCTTCAAACGTTCCATGGCCTTTTGGAACGCTCCACCCCGCTGCGTGGACCGGTTCGTCCAGCGCCGGGCGACAGAACTCCCAGAGGTGGTCGGCCAGGTCGTCCGCGCGGTCCGTGCGGTCCGCGCCGAAGAGCAAGGCCAAGATCCAGGCACAAAGGCCTCGGTGGATGCGCCGAGGTCGGGGGTTCTACGCGCAGGGGGCCTACGCGGCGGGTCGACGCAGGGCCAATACTTTGGGCGTATTTGGGGGTTAGATCGTTTCCGAAGGTGTTGACGTGGAAGGTGCAAGCAATACTCCGGAACTTTGTTTTACGGATCTCTGCTCACTGAGGATTACCCACAGCCTCTCCACACAGCTTCTTTGCCTCTCCACACTCTTACCGCCCTCGCATCCTCCAGTCGTGGTTTTCGCGCGAGGACGTGGCCTTGCAGTGCTTGGTACAAGCGCAGGTCCAAGGCGTGCTTTTGGAAGGGCTGGGTACAGTCTGCAAAGCCTTGGGAGCATCGAGACCCATTGACTCATCGATCTAGAGTGTGCTCCTGGGTAACCCACGGCTCTCCCAGGACCCTCCGCTGAAAAAGAGATCGGACACAACTGAGACCTCCAGATGTGTTGCTCTTGCACACTCATCCCTGACTTCTGCATGGGACGTATGTGCCATCCAAATGCGTGAAGAAGTT